CCGGCGTTACACCTCGCCGGCACTTTCGGCCACCGGGAGCTGCGCGCGGAAATAAGCCTGACGGTGTTTTTTGCTTGGCGACTTGGAATTAGGGCCAAGTCGTGCTGGGCCCAACCAAGGCGCAGGGCTCAGGGAGGTCGGAACACCCCAACAGCATTCCTCGATGATGGTTCAAGCCTCCGCAAGGACGAGCTTTTACCAGGCCCGAAGGCCACCTCAGAATAGCCACCACCTCAACATATCCACGCAAGCACTGAAGCCTGACCACCCGCAAAAGAAGTTCTTGAAGGCGCAACAAGCAAGCACCCAAATCCCAACGAACAACACGTCACGGCAACGCTTTGCACTCATACAAAGCTCGAAGGGCCCCGCAAAACTCAGAAAAATCTGAGACTCGAGAGAAGCACAGCCAAAACGACCAGGAACTCACTGAACCCTTGCCAACCTCTGCCATCTAAGCATACTTCTACCTTGGAGGACTAGCGGGTGTATCCTCATTGACAGAAAAGCATACAGAATATCTGGTTATGCCTCGTACACCTGCTTGATGATGCGAAGGCGCATTCATTATTCAGATTGAACGAAAACGCCTCAAACCTTACCGTTTTCACCCTCAAAGACTGAACCTTTAAAAAAGTAGATCGCATAATTCAATAAACCTTCAGAGTGTGTTTCGTTTAAACCTATCCTTCAAAGAACATGCCCGCAAGAATCGTAGCAGATAGGGTCCCTGAAAAGAAAGCAGCCAAAGGACCTCGGCGTACGCCTCCATGAGGCGATCAATGCACTGTGCCTCAGACCGGGTTGGGGTTAAGGTTGCTTTTGAAACATTACTGGGGATCTATGCGATCCACACGGTTTCCGCCGTGCGATCGTTGCAGCGCGCGTGTGCGGTAAACATAACAGGGGCTTGGGTTTTAGGGTTTAGGGCTGGGATCAAGTTGATCCCAGCCCTAAACTTGTTATCTGCGTTTGGGCCGTCGGGAAAGCTTAGGCTTTAGGAGGTTATGGGGGGCTTGCTTCCCTAGCTTTCGGCAAACCCTAGACCCTTAAACCCTAANNCCCAAAACCCCAAAACCCGAAACCCGCAAAAAAGGACCCCGGCCTCTCCCGGAAGCCGGAAGGTGGCGAGGACCATTCGAAGAGCCTCCACCAGCCCGAGTCCTGACGATGATGGTTTAGGGTTTAGGGGTTTA